CAGCTGGGACCCCTCAGGCAGCTGGGACCCCTCGGGCAGCTGGGACGGAGTGGCCACAGCCCTCATCTCTCCCACAGGACTTTGAGACCAACAAGGAGCTCAAGAGCAAGGTGGTTGGCTTCCTGGAGGAGGTGACGCGCAACCCTGAGCTGCTGACCCAGGAGCGGAAGGCGGCCGCCAACACAGACAGCTCATCTCCGCGTCTGGCCCCCAGGACTCTGACGCAGGAGGACCCCGGGGACAACCAGATCACGCTGGAGGAGATCACACAGCTGGTGAGCCGGGCCTGCCCTGCCCCTGCCCACTGCCCCCCAGCACCCCCTAAGCAAGCACAGCCACCCAGCCCCATCCCCAGGGCGGCACGGGGTGCGGGGGTGGGGGGTCTCGTGCTGGAACCCACCCTCGCCACTGGGCGGGAAGGAGGTTGCACAGACACGGCTCCTCGCAGACTGGCCCTGGGAGAAGGGGTCGCCCTGCACCTCCCTGCAGGGGTCACCCTGCACCTCCCTGCAGGGGATCAGCCGCCCTGGGCCAGCCACCCAGCCCCATCCCCAGGGCGGCACGGGGTGCGGGGGTGGGGGGTCTCGTGCTGGAACCCACCCTCGCCACTGGGCGGGAAGGAGGTTGCACAGACACGGCTCCTCGCAGACTGGCCCTGGGAGAAGGGGTCGCCCTGCACCTCCCTGCAGGGGTCACCCTGCACCTCCCTGCAGGGGATCAGCCGCCCTGGGCCCCTGCCCCCGACTGGGGTCCGGCTGGACTGTTCACCCCTCGAGGGCAACAGCCTGAGACTGCCCAACCAAGTGCCCCTGAGCTGCCGGGCCCTGGGAGCCGGTGTGCGGCACGTCCCGCTTGGAGGAGGCCCCGGTGGCCTCAGAGCGCCTTCTTGCTGTGAGGGCTCCGCCAAGCCCTGCGAAGGGGGGAGGAGGCTGTACCCCCGCCCCCTGCCTCTGCTCCCAGGCTCACCCTCTTTCCTAGGCCCCAGACCTTCTTGCTGTAAGGGCTCCGCCAAGCCCTGCAAAGGGGGGAGGAGGCTCTACCCCCACCCCGCCCCCCACCTCTGCTCCCAGGCTCACCCTCTTTCCTAGGCCCCAGCAGAGGGAGCAGAGGGAGCCCTGGCCGGTGTGGCTCAGTGGATAGTGCGTCGGCCTGCTGACTGAAGGGTCCCGGGTTCGATTCCGGTCAAGGGCACATGCTTTGGTTGCAGGCACATCCCCAGTAGGGGGTGTGCAGGAGGCAGCTGATCGATGTTTCTCTCTCATCGATGTTTCT